AAAAAAGGAGGAGGAGTAAAAAAGGAGGAGGAGTAAAAAAGGAGGAGGAGTAAAAAAGGAGGAGGAGTAAAAAAGGAGGAGGAGTAAAAAAGGAGAATTGGGCAGCAGGAAGCAAGAACAGGTGAATGGCTAGAGCTCCTTGCCCCTGTAATGTATTTACCTAGACATCAAGTATTAGCAGGGAGGCCCCGAGACTGGGAATTCCCAGGCTGCCTGCTCATGACTCACCACATCCAGGAGGTTTACAGCATGTCCCTTCTGGGGACTGGCAGGAAGGGCTGCAGCTGATTTGGACTTCTCCTCTGCCGGCACCTCTTCTGCTTTGGAGGATTTCAGCATTCCCCTCCAGCTGCCCGTCCCAGCCTCCTGGGCCGTATCTCCCACTCCCGGGGCAGCCTGCAGGGACAGCACATGGAGAGATGCTGCCGAGCGGGAACGCGGGCGCCGCAGAGCAGCTCTTGACAAACCCACCACTCGAGCTACACACAGGCAAGGCTCGCTACAGGTCAGACGTCAGATGTTCATACACATGTTCCCTCACTTCATTCTGGGCTTCACATTCCCTACCTTTGTGCTCCCTTGGGGAAACAGCTTAGAGGGAAGCCTATACTCCATTCAACAGGGCAAGCTCATGGAAGCTTTTTGTTCCAGCTCTCAAGAGTGAACTTGATATTTCCCAAAACAAATCCCAACAAAATCACATAAGGCTAGTGGAGTTCAAAAGCTATCATTCTATTTCAGCCCTAGCTCTTCTTTTGTGGTCTCTGCTTACCCTCTTTCCAAGACAACATAAACTAATCCAGTAAAAGAAACTTGCATATATAAAGTAGGCAGAAATGAAAGCTTTTAAAACTCATTCTTCCTAATAATGGCATGAAATGCCAGTAAGGTCTAGATCACTTCTGCAACACGGTCCTTAAGTCATTTAGCTTTTACCACTCTTCTCCTACGTTCTTAGAGAAGGGCAACCTATATGACCAGGGCCATTCTGCAAGCTCATTTTCAAGAACATCACAGCTCTTGGAAAACCTGAAATCACTTAAATTCTTTGGTATTTTACTATAAGAAACTTATTATTATTATTAAAAACAACAGTCAGAAAGCATGCATATTTATATTTTAAGGTACCAGAGCTCCAAACATGTTTGTGCTGACAAAGGTGACTTTTTTTTTTTTTAAATCAAGTCACAAGAAATCAAGAACCTCCATCCTTTGGAAGTAAAGAAAAAAAAAAAAAAAGCAGAGCTTCTGGAAAGTGCAATTTTCACATTAGGAAGCACAAGACAAAAGAAGTATTATTAAGGGGTATTCAAACTTAGGCCATATTAGAAAAGACACTGTTATTTGTGATGTGGAAGATCAGCAATTTTTACTTTGCACCTCTTAATGAATTTGGTATTCAGTCTATTTATTACTTTCAATTCTCTTGCTGTTTAAAAAGAAACAGTGTAAACTCACTGCTGGCCATTACAGGCCACAAAACTACCACCTAGACCTGCATCTCATTTCAGGTAGGGCCAAAGAAGCCAAACATACATCATGCTTCTAACAAAGTGACCACTATAAATTGATCTTGGGTCAACACATGGCAACTGGAATACAACGGGTTATGTGTAAGGAGGCAACTCAGGTGAGCTGTGTGCTTCAAGAAATTCATTAGAAACTGCAGGAACCAGGGATTGTAGGGATTATGCAAGACAACAGAAGGGAGGTCCAGCCTGAACAAAGCCTCTAAAGATTCCCTGCAGGAAGCAGGAAACTCACATTTTTAGTTTATCTTCTGTTCTCCTTCTTTAACTGTCAACACATTAAAAACATGCAGTTTAAGAACCATGCTGCAGATGTGATTACGACACCGCTTCGCCAAGAGAACCCACCGACTGGGGCTTGAGGCTCACGGTGCCTCTGCGCGCTCGCACGACAGGACCCCGCAACCAGAAATCCACACACAAAGGGGTGACTTTACCCCTAAAGGATCTTCACCTGCCACTGTATGTATGTATTCAGGTGAATAATGCCATGTAGTCTATAGCTTATGGGGCGTTACGTCCAGAGGACCCAGAACATGCTCTGTCACTGTCAACGCACTTAATACAAACTGTCTCCGTAGGATGGAGGGTGCACCACAACATATATGTGCATGCCGTGCTTAGAGGAAAGAAAACATCACAACAGACCTTGCCATCAGCCTCTGCAGAAGCAGCAGCAACAGTCTCCTGGGAGGCAGGTGTCAATGCACCTGGAGCTTTAGTAGACTAAAGAAGGTAAAAATGCAGGAAAACAAACAAAAGAAATCAACTGAATACCACCAAGTCTACCTAGCGATTACATACACTTCTGCCTACCAGCATCTTTAAAATTTCAGAGGGGGAAAAAAAGGGATTTTGGATTTGCAAACAACATAGCGATATGAGTAGGGGTAAAATAGCATTTCAAAGACAAATAGAAGACTTGGGGCTTATTGGGCTTTCAGTTTCCTTTCAGTTGCCCTGCTGACCACGCAAACATTTTCCCACAAAAGGCAGTCAAAAGAAGGATGAAATAGCCCAGAAAGCAATCCCTGAATAGCTACCTTGCATTCCCAGTTCACCATTAACTATCTTCTACCACTTCAAGGCAATATTAGACCCATTCTGGCACTTTGCCTCACTTTTTAAGTTTATAAACTTGAAGAACTGCTTTACACTATCTGTAATAACTCCTTTTACAACCTGAGCTTAAACTATATTCTGCAGATTTTTATTCTACATGCTTAATAAAATATTAAACATATAGCTAAAATTCCACCAGATTGTCCAGCTGTTCTTTTCCACAATCAGACAACGTTTTTAGAGTTGTTCCTCCACCCATGTTTGTACTTGTCACTGAACTAATCCCCAAAACCATGCAAATCAAACCAAGCTCAGGAGACAAAATACAAAACTGGATTTAAAATTTGCAGCTCCATCATCCTCTCCCGGAGAAAGCAATCTGCACTAAACCTAAGAGAATTAAGAGTAACAAATTCTATCTCCATCTTTAACACCTGCAGGCATTTCAAGCCTCACCTGAGGTGACATGCAAAACTTTATAGAGCAGTCTTCAAAACCTCCCTATGTTAAAATCTGCCAAAGCTGCATCCGTAAAAGAAAAATAACAATCCACTTCTACCTTACGAAACTGAAAGGAAAATAAAATCAGTATCTGAAAGCACCCAAGACAGTCACTAGGGCAGCACAGTTGCCAGAACTTAATCAGATGAAAAGAATACATTAAACTTAAATGAATAAAACTCTGAAAGAATAAAGCAAAAGCAACGTTCACTCACCTTTTCTCGTGGCACAGTGGAAGGCAACTCCCGGGCTAACCTGTTTCGCCTCTGTTCCTTAAAAACAAGCAAGTGAGACCTCGGTCAGGAAGGATCCTGCACGAGCCCGCAGGCAACATTTGGGTTTTGCTGGTGACTGGCACAGAGCCAGCACCAAGAGTCTCACTCCGTGTCATGTGGCCATACTGTGATGCTCAGAGAGCCTCTACTGCTTGGAAATACCTACTCTGAAGGATTACTGGGTCAAAAGTAAATCTGCAACATAAAACCTTCTGTAAATTTTTGCAATACTCTCCAGAATCACATTAGAACACCTTTAAAGGACAAGATAAAAACTTGACTGAGGGTAAATTCCCTACAGGCATAACATTTATTTAAATTCCCTACACAGCACCACATTTATGAAGTAAACTGTCAGGATTTCATGGCATATAGGGCCAGGGGAACTATGATGACCTCAAAAAGCAGGAGGACGAGGGGGAGGTGACAGCAACATTCACCATTGAAAGAAAGTAGAATTTGAAGCGATCAGCACAACAAACTTCAATTTCAAGAAAAACAAATCTAATCATTCACTAAATAAAGCTAAAGTGATCTACATGCCTTGTTTCTTAAAAAAAAATCCAGTGTCCTGTTCAGGAAGCTGTTGGGAAAGAACTCATTTACGTAACATGTAATTATACAACAATCTCATATGTTCATCTTTGCGAAGTTCTAATTTTGGCATCTGGAACAGCTTGGGCAGACACTGCTCCCAAACAGCCTGTGGGGTCAAGAAGTCTGCCAAAGCAAACTCATCCACATACACCAATCAATACAAAATTTTAATATAAAAAAAGAGGATAGAACTAAAAGAGTGGAAATGATAACAGAAGTATTTTTAAAAGCGTGCTACTGGAAAAAACATGCTGGATAAGCAAAGGAACATCAGAATATTACCAAGCTCTTAGCCACACGGATTGAGCAGCACAACAACTGCCTCCACAGCATGATGACAGCAAGAGAGATTAGTACTGGGCTTGCAAAGCAGGCTACTGAAATTGCAAAAGGCTAATGGGAGAATTATACAGGAAATGGATTTGGGAAATGGATTTGGGGGAGATGGAGGCACGGCACCACGGTGCTTTAAGAATAGGACAAGAGAGAAAGAGAAATTAGAAGCTGAACAGAGGAAACAAAGTGTATTATCATGTTAATAATAAATAATAAAACCCACTTCCTATCTATTAACATATTCTGCCAAGGATGAGAGCGGCAAAATAAACAAACAGTATTTCACCACTACCTATGGCCTCCTCCAGCACTTTAATAGCCAGTTCTCACTTAGGTGTCCACCTTATTTTCCAGACAGAAATACGGGCAGGAAAGTTAAGTGAAATATCTGCCACTGGTCCTCAGCACGATACACGAGTTTTAAGTATTAACAAATGGACTGATTACAATCTAGGATTACATATTTCATGGTTATATGCAACACTTCACTTTATACTTCAGAATGTACAACAACGCTTTAAAAGTGACAAACTCTCACCTAATTAATCAAAACACATAACAGATATAACAGAGACCATAACTATAGAAAACCTTTCAACGTATCCTAGTTTTTCTCCGTGTATTGGGTTTGCTTTTAAGAGGATGCAATATTTTCTTACCTCTATGTTGTTATTCATTAGCCCACAGGCATCAGCAAAGTCTGGGTGTTTCGTATTGATATAGGCTAACTCGATGGCAACCAAATTGTGGACCTGCAGCACAGTGCAGTGAGTAAAGCAGTTGCCAGTACCAGTGAAGAACAATGAAATGACAAAGCTAGAGAACACAGCATAACTATCTAGAGCGAAAGCCTCTGTTCTTACTGCCCCAAAGGCAGAAAATATCCTGATTTTTCTTTCACTTTCTACATCAGCCATACAAGCACGTACAGACTCACCGACACAAACACTCTGCTCGCTCCCCAGCGAGTGGCCCCAAGCAGACATTGGGCTTTCACATTAAAACACTTGCATATAAAATTAGCGAGCTGAATTTTTGGTTCCCAGCAGCTGAAGGGCATTACAAATGAAATCATCATTTTATGTAAGGTAATATCTCTTCAACATACAGAGCGAGGACTGTACTTTTCTTCACTGCATGCCCAACTCCAAAGGAAATGCACAGCTTCAATTGCAGGGGGAGGGAAATACACCTATGGCAGGACGCTAGCAGGTTGTAAATAATAAAGAAAATAGAAATAAAATAGTTTTTCATAAAATTTCCTTTTCAAATTGGAACTTTGGAAACAACAAACTGAGGACAGTTCCTCCCAACACCTTTGTTTAAGTACCTATCTTCTAATACTAGATGTTTTCTAAGCTTCAAGCATTGCAGATACTAAATTTGAGGAATAAGTGTTAAAGCTCCTTAAAAAGTTTTGGGCTCCCCACACTGCACAGCCTACAGAGGCAGCAAGAAGGACTACAGGAAACAAAGCATGTTCCAGCAAAATTATAATCAATGGAATATTACCATTTCATTTGTGACTGGAAGTCTTCTACGTAGGAGACAGGTCACAACTTCAACTATGGCATCATGTAATTTAGGAAACCTCAATAATTCCTAAAACAAAGCAAAAATTTACTGATGAGATTTCCAGATGTTTTGAGGAAAGTAAATTACGCAAAATTACAAAGTAGCATCTGAAAAGCAGCAGTCAAACTTCTTTAGCTCGTAAGTTCAAATTTATTAAAAAATAAAGCAATAATTAAAAATGCTGTAGCAGTCTTAAGCATCGTTTTTTTTACCTGTGTACTGTAATTGCTACAATGCTGGATAATCCTCTGCATTTCTTCATGAACCAGCTCCACACAGCGCAAGCTTGGCTCTTCTAAACGTTTGATTTGCCTTTTTACCAGCAATTCGAATGAAACTTCGGGAACAAACAAGGCAGGACGGGGACCCTAGTTCAAAAGGAGGAAAAAGGCTCCTGTTATAGTATGTTTTAAAACACAATTTAACTCACACACTCAGAAAAAGCAGAAGCTGTCTGTTGCCTAGAGGGAAAATATCTGAATGTGTTCTAGGCCACCCACCTCAGATTTAATCTTCATAACTGGCATAAGTTTTAATGCAAAAATAAGCGCAGAGACAATCTTTCACCACCCTTTTTCTAATGTACAATAGCAACGGAATAGCATTGTCAGAGCTGGGCCTGAGCTTCCCTCAGCCTGAGGGATATAATTGTTCACTTCAAAACCATTCTATATCTGATATATCTGATAATGGCCGTAAATTTGGAATTTACTTTTTTCCTCCCCACTTAAAACACTGAAAAGCAGTTTTCAGCCCATTTGGTATTTGGGCAGCTGAAGCCTTTAATTCAGAGTGTAACAGTTGTGAAGCAGCACGAGGCTGTTGAAGCCTCATTTCAGCAGCGTGCAGGAAGGAGCCTTAGACAAACAGAGTGAGGCTCACCGTAGCATTTCTAATGGCAGTCAGAATATCAATAGTGTTAAGGCCACCGAGCGGATCAACAGACTCCAAGGTTCGTCCGAAGGTCTCATGAAAGATGTAACAGATTCGGGCTCCACCACATCTGAAAGAATAAAACAGCCACTGAATAGCAAACAAGAAACAAGCCCTCACTGCAAACACCTCTACGGCCACCTGCATTCAAGCATACTTCAAGAGAGCAGGATTTTCAGAACATCTTATTCTCTGCTGTAGCACTGTTGCCAACATAGGCCAGCAAGGGCCACTGGCTCACAGTCTCACTGGAGAGTCAATATTTTAGAAAACCACTTGGTACTTACAGCTCCGAAGTCTCAATGTATTTTGCTGTTCCTTCAATGGTGTTACAATATTCGGTGGCAAATTTGGTAATCAGCTGTAACAAAGTGGCACTTTTGTCCTCAACAGGTTCCCCATAGCTGTTTAGTAGAGACTGATACTGAGCAGCTAAAACATTTATTCTAGTTTTCAGTTCTGGCAAACAGTCTCGGATATGATGCATCAGCAGTCTATAATTAGAGAAAAAAAATAGTCCTTTGTGAGAAGGGAGGAAAACTTTAAGCTTTATTATCTCTATCAAAACAGAAAAGAAACAAAATAATCACAAAAGGAAAATGCTTACTCAGAAATCTAATACAGAAATTCAATTTTTAGCTGAAAAGTACTTTCCCCATATTTCACTAAACAGCACCAAAAGAAAAAGGGAAGGTAAAAGAAACAGGCTTATATGTGTTTCTAACCCCCCAGTTGATATCTGAAGCACCTTCAGAAGCATTTGCTTGGTTCTACATAGTACATCATACCTGTTCAGTGTCCGAGCAAGGTACTTGGTTCCATTGCGATTGGCGAGGGAAGGATATTTCTTCTGCAGAAAACCGTACTCATCCCGGATGGAATCAGCTACGCTCTTCTTATTGTTAATATCCAACTGGCTCCTGAATTCGAGAAAACAAAACAAAGCAAAAACTACAGTTATATGCTAGTTGATAGACACGAAGTAAAAATAATCTACATTTCTGTTTTTCCTAGCAGGACACGTAAAGAGCTGGGTTTGGCTTTACACACATAACTTGTCTCCACTAGGCAATACCATCTAGAATTGGTAGTTGTTCCACAGACTGCAGCCAACAGAGTAGAATGGGGAGCAGCCATCTACAGACCAAGTTAACACTGCCATCAAAAAGACTGCATGAGATCTGAGCTATCTGATGCAAAAAGCAAAGTGTATAGTACTGAGGTCATAAACAGCTCCTGCTAAATTAGCACTTAGAGGCAAGAACCCTACTGGATCAGCACTATTGTGAACAGCTGACAAAAACAAATAAAAAAAGCATAGTGGGGAACAGAAAGATGAAATGACACCACAGTTTTTACCTCAGTTGTCCCTATTCCTTTCTAAATCAGCTGTTAGCTGCCTGGAAGAACAGGCAAGCTTGTCAAAAGTGCCAGCAAGCTTCTTGCTTGCTTATTTTAGCATATTTCAATATCAAACCATCTTATTATTAATCCCTTATTCATGGTTAGAAGAGCCTAAAACATTACTTCATATCAACACAATTCTAAAAATAGGATTACTGTGCCCAAACCTATTCACTACTCCAATGATGCCAAGCTTTACTGGAATCACTCTTCCCATGAGCACATCCATAGCATCAGTGCCAGCATCCATGAGATCCAGCTTTGTGATAACAGCAAGGGTTCTTCGACCTGTTAGAACAGAAGGAAAACTCACATAGGGTGAATGTGACACCCTGATCAGGATAGCTAAAGCTTATCAATTAAACAGTTCCTGGGACAACTGCACCAAGTGCAACAAGCTAAACTAGTAGAAGCAGTCCAAGAACATGGTATTCCTCTAAATGGAGCCATTTATTAACAAAAGTGTATGTAACAAAAGTATGTATATTTGAGATACATACTGGCAGGTGAGACATGTAAACAGTCCAGGCTTTCAGGTCCGAAAACATGGAAATATGTTTTCTTGGAAAAACGTTCAGAAAAACATGGAAAAATGTAAAAGCCCAGGCTTTCATGTCAGAAAAACATGGAAAAATGTTTTCTTAAAAATATAACGTATATAACGTGCCTTTCAAGTCTAAAATAAACTGATACCTCAATGACATCAGTAGGCAGATGTCTCCTAAAACTTCCCGATTATTTCTAGAAAACCTGCAACATGAGCTGTGACTCCAGACCTTTGAGTCCAGAATTTTGGGAAACGATCCAGAAGTCCCAGCTGATCATTTTACAAGAGTAAACTAGGGAAGGGTCAGCTGCCTTGAAACAAAGGCATCCGACTGAGGGCCTGCCAGGAGAGGGGAATCTCTCTGTCCCTCGAGGTTACGCGGCTGCAGAGCCCCTAAAGCCTTAGCCAGAGGTATTTTAGCCTAATTTCTGTATAGTTACATTCAGAGTCTACACTTCCATATTCTTTTAAATCATACAGTGCTATTTATAATCTCTATAATTTACTATTATAGTAATTTGCTTTTCACAGCCAAGAAGCAGATATCAGTAGCATAGGACCTGTTCAAAATCATTAGGTAAATAGAAAAACGATAGCCCTCTTTTTAGATTAAATTAAATCAGTTAAATCTTTACAAACAAGCGCAGGATAATGATAACAGATCCTGGCTGAATACATGGATTTTACCTTCTCTTAACAAAAGTCACTATACTAAGAGCTGAACATGTAGTTACAGGACTTGATATTTTCTCTAATAAAAACAATACTGAAGTGGTAAAGCACGAAGTCATCCTACGAAACTACTGTAAAGCATTTAAAACAAAACAAACATAGACACACACACACAACTCTCCAGCATTCTATAATGCCATGCTCTGGAAAAAGAAATGTCTCACATCACTATTAAAACAGTTATATAGTCTGTTTCTAAGCCAGAAAGCCAATCATGGCAGTCTCAATAGCTTCTGAATTGTACTGACTGCAGCAGGGCATTTTTACCCAAATATAATAGCTGTGTTTTCTGGGAAAGGCAGCGACATTTTGGTATCATCTCTCCTGTCCTTCCCCACTACCTTTTTCCCCCCCAGAAAACTGTAGTTTTATTTTAGGATTTTCTTTAGGAAAGAAAAACTCAAGAACTTGAATTACAGGGCCCAGTTTTATTTTCCACTTACCATCTGGATCCACCTCCCGTGCAATTTTAAGCGCTTCTGAAGTGGCCATATCTGTGTTGGCAGCTGTGACTGCCAGAATAATTGAATTTGGGTTGCTGATGAATTGAAGGATTAGTTCTCTGATTTGAAGTTCAATGTCCTTAGGCTGATCACCAACAGGCACCTAGAAAAAAAATCAGTGCAGAACTGTTCAAAACGATACATTTCTCCCATGTGAGACCACTCATTGAAGATTTGTGCATTACACCACAGTGCAAGACACAGGTTTCCATTTTTTTCTGGTCCCACTTGCTAATGAAATGCATCGCTTAATGCTAATGAAAGCATTAAGAAGATCTTGAAAGGTATCCAAGTCAAAAGCGTTCTTGCAAAGTGAGAATCAAGTCAAATTACTTGTTTCGATATTGCTATCAAGAAGACTTAACATCTAAGAAACATCTGTGTGACGGGTGGAATGGGGTATATATGTGCACATGCATAAGGGCAGGCAGAAGAGTGGAAGAAGCCATTTCCATCTTGACACAGAATATTACTCAGTATAAAGCCTGAATATTTATTCTACTGTATTCCCAATTTATACAGCCTCTTACACATAGCAACTTCCATTAGGAGAGGCAATGAGAAAAGCATTTTCAAACTTTTCAGTGGCTTATCCATTTTCAGGTACTGCTGTGAAACTTTGAGTACCTCTTCAATTAAAAAAAAAAAAAAACTGCATATAGAAAACAGGGAAAACTCAGTAAATTAGCTTTCTTAAGATGAATTACATCAGAGATCTAACTCTTATAAAAGAAGATGGTGACATGTCAAATTTATAAAATCAGTTACTCGCCTTGAGGAACAATTTATACCTTCATTTCTTGAAGTTTTTTTAGCTAACAATCCAGGACAATGCCACAGAGTGAAAAAACACTCACATTTTTCAAAGTACTTTGCAAGATACTTTGCATCACATCAGAAGAGAATCATTCCAAATCTTACCTTTGTCATTCCCGGTAAATCCACAAGTGTCAGATTTACGACGTTAGATGAAAAAATCTTAAGGTGAATAGGTTCAGGACTGATCCCCTAATAATTATAATAGATAATTATTAATAAAATTAAAAATAATAATAATAGTAAAAAAAATTACAGCTATGGATTAACACTTTGGAAAGACAAGAATCTCAACTTTTATACTGTAAAATTTCTTTCATCATATGACCTTAGCACTTGCTTCATGAGAAACAAGGCCTACCACATCTATTAAATAATTCCTTCATCTTTGGAAGCAGCCCGGCTTTCCTCTCAATAAAACACACAATTATTTTTTTTTTTTTACATTTCAGCAGTGAAACATGTACAAGAACACAATGTTTGATTTTATAATTTATAAAAAAAAGTCATAAAAAATGAAAATATGAAATTTTAACTCAGAGTTTATTTCTTGCAAAACTGCTGAAGAAAGTTCAAGGAAGTTCAAGTTCAAAGAAAGTTCTTGTTCTAAGGAACAAGAGAATTTACAATATGGTCAAGTTAGGCAGTTCAACATTTACCTTATTATTTCCTGAAATCCTCTCGGTTTCATTTTCTATTTCCTGACGAATTTCATCAAAATCTGTATAGACCTGAAGGGGGGGGGAGGGAAAGAAAGAAGAAAAAAGTGAGAAATTAGCTACATATATAGAAAGTGGAAAGAAATTAAGAATGACTAATAACACTGAAGCAAATACTAAAGGGAACATCAGTGCAACAACCTGAAGAAAGGTAAATCTTCCTGTTTAACCTACTGCCACATGGAAAGGCAGTTACTAGTGTTTATTATCACCTCCAAGTAAGGCAATGTAGAAAGCATTCGCCTTAAGAGAATTTCAAATCCTTTATCCCATTTTTAACCAAGCTGCTATGCCTTAAAGCTAATAGAGACAACAAAGCCTGAACCCTTCTTGATGAGGATGGGGACAATGAACGCAGACAACATCCTCTTGCAAAATTTCTCCCATTCTTGTCCAGTCTGTTCTTCCACCAAGCCAAAATGGAGTCACAGTTCACCTCCACCTCCCTCTCTAGATCTCCTTGAATTTCTAGCACTGTGTAGAAGAGATTTGGAATTAAGTGTAGGATAAGTGGTTACGACACTGCTACTCCACCACATGAGTAAACCTACCTTATTTTTGGTGTGAAGAAATTTACCCCACTCTTCCGCGTCGATCTCTGCAAACAAAAGTTTGATATATGAAGAGCAGGAAATGGATGTTTCAATGATAGTTTTCCAAGAGCTTGTTTGTTGAAAACTACAGGGTGGTTTTTCAAGCAGCAAGAGAAAAATTAGTCTCTTTACTGCTAAATGTTAAATAGTTCAGTACAAATATTTGTCATTCATACTTATCATTAAACATGTATCTAATTACTCCTTTTAATTTGTCATTCTTTTATACAACATCCACCATTTGAATAATGAATCGCACCAATCAGCAACCCTACCATTTTTCAGAAATTGTCTAGTGCATTTAAATATTGTATCACAACAGAAAACTATAATAAAAAAATGCAAAAATAATCAGCTTTTAGCATTTTCTTTTTCCATGCAAGCGAGATCAAATTGCAGCTGAAAGAAAAAGTCAAAAAACCCTGTAAGAAACAAGCAAACAGAAAATACATAAGTATTCTGCTCAGCAGTGAAATCTTAGGAAAACATGTCTCTTCCCAAATCTGTCAAGAACCAAATATCTTAGCTGTTGTCAGTCACACCACTGATGTCTGGGAAATAGTTGGGGCTACTCGACCTGACCCAGAAACAGCAAAGGAGCTTCTGTCAATTCCGGCTCCATTGAGCAGATGGCAGCCTGAGCCAGGCTGCAAGGTATTTACCCTTCCACAACTAGGTTTCCGAGTCCTGAGTTTCAAATTTTTAGTGGGTGATCGTTTCTCCTCCACTGCCTGATACAGCAATTCACTCTAAAGAAGATTCTACAGAAATCTGGCTATTTGACAACCACATTGTTTTCCTAAAATTATGACATGACTCAAAACTTTTTTCCACTATCATTGAAATTCCAAAAGATATGAATACAGACTTTTAAAGGATTTGGGAATTAAAAGTGCTGAAAATTATATGAAGCAGCAACGACACATAAGAAAAGCAAAATCATCTCATTCTAGCACAACAAAGTCAAAAAAAGAAAAAATCCCCAAATCAACATGGTCACAAGACTCAGGAAAATAATCAATCAACAGAGTAGCCAGTGCGTAAACAAAAAGTCTAACCAACAATAAAGTGGCATGAAATGTATGTGGTTAGTGAATATAAGCATGCACTTTATGTGTAGGGAGAAAAAGCAAGGGGATAAAGGCAACCTTTAGAAAGGTGTCTTGGATTTTTCCACGTAGCAGGGTCTGCAGTTAAAGAGAAACAGCATTGAATGGTGTTTAAAGTTGGTCGTATTTCACAGAGCACATTCTTTCCCCTTCAGTCCTAGCCTGTATTACGAAGATCACAACTGCATGCAGACAGATGCGCAAGCTACTCTCTCCTATTAATGAGAATGTGTAACATACTAACAGTATACACAGAAATAAGATTAAATAAATGCTGATAAATAATGATCCGCATTAACCAGATATTCTGTACTACAAGTTTTACTTAATGATGACTTTAATATTGCTGTTCATCTCGCTCCATCCGCTTACAATCTTTTTACCTGAGCACAGAAAATAGCACCATGTGGTCCTGCAAAACTGAACTTGCTTGGAAAAAATATGTTACTCATAGTTTTATTTTAAACCAAATGCATTTTTTCTAATATCACTAAAGATAATATTAATGCACTGGAAAGAAACTCAAGATTCTGCATCAATATTTTTGACACTGAAAAATAAATTTGCACATATGAAAAAAGCACAATAATTGAGACAGATTTAAGAAGAGACAACATCAAGTAACATCATTCTCGCCTTTTGATTTTCTCAATAAAATGTATGCAAACCCCATAATAAAAATAAAAATATTTTATGCAAATCTGCCAGTAAGAATCCAAATAAAGAGAGGTTTTTGTTTGTTTTTACTGCACTTACCTATTCAGCACCAAATGGAAGCCGCACAGCAAGAATCAATTCATCAGTTTGAAAAGTTTGAAAATAGATGGGGACAGTTAATTTGAGTATCCTGCTCGAGTGGATATGGATTGGAAAGACTTGTCCTTACTGTTCTGTGAGGATGCACAGAAAAACTAGAGGCACAGCAGCTATAAAGAAGCTATTATCAGGAGGCAAGTGTGGTCGTTCATTTGATAAATAGGCAAAACTACATACTAGTCACAGCAAAAAAAAAATGCAAAAAAAAAATTAATGCCAGATTACTAAACAAATTTAGTTTCTTTACAATACAAAGAAAAAAAAAAAGGCAAGAGGCAGCATGAAGCAGGTTCATCATGAAGAAACTACAGTATCTGCATAATTATATTACTCATTGCCTCTTTTCAGAAATAGAGATGGGGCAGGAAATAGGCATAAAGCCAAGAGGAAGCCAACAGAGCAAAATGCTTCCAGGGTTACATTTAAAAACCATCAACCAAATGCTCTTATACATAGAAAGGTGACGCCCTCCTCAGACGCACGGGTTTAAGTCTTAAATAACTGGTTTTGTGCAACTTTGGAATCCACAGGTAGGTGCCAAGCTTGGACGTAAGTCTAAAACTTACTTAAAATTTTCTTCTTACTTAAAATTTTCTTCTTTCAGGATTATTTTTATAAATATATTTTTCCCTCGTCTTCTGAGGAAGTCAATAGCAACACCCATTCAAACATATAAAACTCTTGGAAATTTATGCTACTTCAAATGCAAAGAAGTTTTTAGAAAGAAAGAAGAATTTGCATCATTATTCAGAATACATAGTTGCTCAAGGCAAGGAGGAAATTAAGCTATGACTAATAGACACTTTCAACAACCCAGTAAGTTTTGGTTTACACCCAGAATACTTTCATGTTACTAATTTCACTGATTAAAAAAAACTGTTTTTCCCAGTAGCATTTCTTCCTGGGTGCATCTCTTCTCCATCCTTGAGCACTAGGAATGAATATGGGAGCATGAAACAGAGCTGTTCAGTCATAAAAGATGACCAGCATGGAGTATTTTTTAGAGCAAGACAACAAAAAACTTACAAAAATAACAAACTTCTTGGGTGAAAATTCTTCTCTTGTGCCTGTACATAGCTCAGTACAAAGAGGGAGCCCTCCCTGTTCAGGAGCTAGGGGTAACACAGCAGCACATGCAGTGTGTAGTGCTGGTTGTAGCAAACAACACTGGTGTATTCATCATTCCTGCCTTCTAGAGCAATTTTATCTGTCTAGGATCTAAACAGCTGAGCTTCCTATCTCAGTTTAAAAAGAACCTATATACATTCACAAGGTGGCCGTTCATATGTTCCCTCCTCTTTTCCCTGTCCTAACAAATGGCTAAACTATCATGGCAGCTACAAGACCAATCTCATAGGTAATGAGAGCAGGCACAGCTCCCAAATTCTGCCTCTCCTGCAGGTTGATCGGAGGACCCCACACAGCACGGTAGCCCCACACCAAACAGGTCGGCTGCCAAATAAACAGTGATAAACAGCCAGTGATAAACAGCGAATGGAGCATGAGAAGATTTTCCTCACTCCAAGCACACACACACACCTCTGGAAAGTATGTGTAGGAGTTTGGAATAATGGCTTTATGAAAAGGCTCAGCACTTCCTCACATTTAATGGAAAACTCATCTCTCTCCTCCCCCAACTTCCTTCTTTCTCTTCCTCTTTCCTGTTTTCTGATTATTTTGATCTACTCCAGGGACCACTGTATGAGGGGAGCACATAGGGTACAGCTCATCAGTGCCTGTGAGGAGCAGTCAGCATAATCTTTAACCTTGCATGGCAGGAAATCAGAAGTTAGTTCCAATGTCTGGCTGCACATCTCATACAAGGCTGCTTCCCAACAGGCTCCCAAGAATAATGGGGGAAAAAAAAAAAATGAACTGATCTTCCCTGGCAGATCACATGGACATGCATCTGATGACCAAGTGAAGAGAGAAGCTACTGGAAAGATTTCTCCTGCATCTAGTCCTAAAGACAAGACAATTTGCTACAGTTAAACAAGCACAACCCGAATTGCTTCATGTTATAAATAGTAAAGCTTTCTGGATGCAAACACACATGTTGAATTAGAGCTTCTAAAACCAAAGAATACTACTTTTGAATGGATATATTCATCTTTGATTCTAGAACACATCTACAGCAAACATTCAGATGGAAAAAGGTTTTGCTCAAATTTTGCTATTTTACATAGCAAAATTATAAATCAAGGATATACATTCATGACTAAAGTGTTTGGTACACAAGGAGTTCACTATCAGTACATCTGAAAAGCAGCCTGTATGTGAGTGCACAAAATGATGTACTTTCATTTCTGATTCACTTTATAGAGATGAAGCTGTTCACCTGGAGAACCTTTATGCAAGATCATGAATAGCTACTTGCCACTTGCAAAAGGCCACCCCCCAACCCTGCCCCAGTATCCAGCTCCTAACAAACAAAAACTTGAGCTGGAACAGTGTGACAGCCTATTCCCATGGCAGGCAGCAAGGGCAGGGTGGGCAGTTCTCACCTCTTCTCTTTCCAAGTTGCTGGATCCCACCTTCTCACCGAAGCAACACAATCTTTACACATGATTATATGCAAAACTAGCTCAAGAAAGAACATTTAGACTGTGATTTTTCTTATTTTAGAAGAATTTCCAACACAGTTGATAAAAACCACAGAAGTTTGTCTGTTTTAACTAAACAAGTCTCTCCACCTTTGACAGCAATAAGAAAGAGATTATAACGTGTGGACCTTATTGAATTTTTTTCTCCAAAGTTCTAAATGTGCCTTGAAAATATTAAGTTAGCCCAACATCCTTATACAATAGGTATCATTATCTCATTTCAGAGTTAAAAAAAATTGAATTTACTGACCGAGTGCAATCAGTGATAGCCATCATGTTTTGGCTCAATACTGTATTTTAAAAATCAACTTTTATATTTGTACAGTTGCAGATTAAAACAAAAACACATCTTATCCTACAACTCAGAATCAAAGTATTCTGTAGAGCACTAAAAATTATACACAGGATAATGTGTGCACGCATGTAACATGAAAGTACATTAGAAAAAAAAATGAAGTGTTTTATTTGTAACAGGCTGTCCAGACAAGTTGTGTGTTCTCTACCCTTGGATGTTTAAGACCAACCTGGATAAACCTCTAGGCAATCCTGTCCAAACTCGAAGCTGACTCTGCTTTGAGGAGGAGGTTGAACTAGAAACCTCATGAGGTCGCATGAGGTCCTTCCCAATCTGAATCATCTATTCCACAATCTCAGAACACAGTCCAACCTGGATGGCAGACCCTGCACTGCATACTAAACTCCTTAACTGTTAGGAACCGGAACTGTGTTTTCGCTTGCAGCAAAAACAATTTTTGCAGATTTAGTCTTTCAAACTGTACAATCCCAATAACTGTTCTTCAGGGACCAAAGGCTACAAATACTACACAAAATACTGCAAGGAACTTCCAGAACCTTGAATTATTATTTCTAGAAATAAATTCCATTCTACTTAAATACAATGTGAATAACTATAGCCAAATGCTTATCATGCTATCAAAAGTCTGTGAGTTGTTACTGTCTAAATCAAAAAGCCAAGAAGATTTATCTGCTGCTCTTCCATAAGATCAAGACTATTAGAGAGGATAAAGCAAGTGTTCAGATTCCCAAAGGGTAAGTGAGATAACTTTGATGTGCTAAGGGATAATGCTGAACCATTACAGAAGAGGAAAGCTTCAAACTAGAGAGCTTCTAAACATCTGAACTGCTCTGTTGTATGTGTTTAGGATCTCTCAGTGTGGGTCAGGAAGGTGGTGTAAGCCACAGAACACACTCAAAGTTTTCTGCATCTAGAAAAGGGTTCTTTGTTTGATTTTATTTTCTCCCTCTCTGAATTTCATCCAGAGCTTGTCTATTTCTTAACCACTTTCCACAAGGTCACATTCTCATCCTCTCAAGGAAAGGTTTTATTTAATTAGAAGTAGGTGGGAAGAAAAACACAAGAAAACTCTGTTCTCAACATCCTAAATTGCCATTATGAGAATTACAATGTTTCTTTGGCCTGTTTTTCTCAAAAGTGTTTACCAAGAAAGAATAGGAAAGCTTAAAATATTAAAGATATTTTGAATAACCAAAAGCTTTTGACTTCATGATATCTGCTATATGGACAAAAGAGCTGTGACAACGTCTGCATTTTTTTTTTTCAAAACAAATAAAATGAGATAGCATACTTGCATTTTAGGACCACAATAACCGGCTTTTCACTCAAATGCACAAGAAAGATTAAAAGCATCTTTTCTACTAGGCAAAACAGAGAGTCTTGGATCACACTTACCATTTTCATCTCCAGCTGTTTTCCGACCATCCTCTGGGGAAACATGCACCAGCTGCAGAATAAGGGGTCTCCGGGTGACAACTCCAGTACCTCGTGGGAGCAGATCCCTCCCCACAAGACTTTCCAACACAGAACTCTTTCCACTGCTCTGAAAAGCGGAATACAGCTACGTGACTTTCTTAACATCATAATGCTGCAGTTTTTTAGTTTCAGCTTTGTTTCATTACTCCATAAGCAATGCTCTAGTCCACTTTCTGCTATACAATTTCCTCAGAAGCATTTAGCATAGGCTGACCACATCTAACACACAGATACCACACCACATAACCACTAGAATATAGAATACAATTCTGCTCAAACCCAGTAACTGGCCAAACCTTGACATTTAAAGGGCATGGAGACAGATGTGTTTTCTATTTTTTAAGGCTGAAACAAGCAAGTAGAAATGTAAGGCTCAGAGGCAAATGTTGTCTTCTGGCATTTTCCATCATTTGGGAATAGCATTTCATTGTGTACAGACTGCTATTTATTAGTAGTAACACGGGACCATCATGTGGTCACATAGAGAGAGATTCTGAACATGCACATTCGGGTATATGTAAAGGAGTTTTCTTAGATTCCTTTCCAGGTTCCCTTTTTGTTTTTTTGTATAACATATTACATCACCTTCATATGTGAGCAGGAAAAATGCTGCTTCAAATTTACTTATGCACAAACCTTGTCTTATATGCTATAGGAATACATATGTAACTGAATTGGCTGCCAACATCTGTCCACATGGTAACAAACTGTTAGAAGCTGTGAACCACTAGCACTGTGAAATCCAAAATTCTCCTCAGGAGCCTCTATTTGCCATGTCTACCTATAGCTCTTTGACATAAGAAGCAGAATTCTCCTTAGATGGTCAGTCCAATAAGCTGTGAACATGTGGGGAATAAAAGTGGATCAAGACAGCTTGTTAAGAGCTAAAAATAACAGGCCACATGCATAAACACAACGCTTTGAAAGTCTCACTGACAGGGTTTTATTTTTTAGCAGGGCTGTATTAAACTCTCCATTTTCTGAAGCTGGAAGTCAACGTGGGCTTGACATAACAAAGTCATAGTCTGTGAGTATGGACCAACAGCATGGATGCTACCTATTACCAGCTAATTCAATGCGGCAAATGACTACGTGTTTCTGACTGTTGGAATGTGTATTGCTGTGACACAACCTCAATTTAGCATCTTAACCATTCAGAAAATACCGATCAGAGATGTCGCATAAACCACAGAACAAATACATAACCCAGCATAACTCAAAATATGAAGTATTTAATGCTTAAATTGCCACTAAGTGGATAATTAATGTCGTTTCCTTAATAGTGAAAAATAGATTAGTAAATACCAAGCAACACAGCACAGACAGTCCTTATCAACTACTGCTGTAGGACAGACAGGCACATATTACATGAAAACATTCAAAACTGTTAAAATGGAACCTGCATGCACGAGCACAAATGTTCACACACAACACACACACACAAGCATGCTAGAGACCTTGATCAGATGACAGCCTTCTTTTCTTCTAACACTTTCCTATAGCTATGTTTCACAGCATAAAAGAAATGCTATTTATCTACAGTGTCATTTGTCTCAATATGTGAACAGCAAAGCCTGATAGGTAATGTTGAAAAATAATACACACAAAAAGCAAAATTCAGAAAGATAAACTGTACAGAAAGAGTAGGTAGAAGGAGAGGAGCAGAAGAAATGAAAAGTAAGATTTTTTTCTATAAAAGGCTCTCCTAGAATCCTCATTAATGGGGGGTTGTTTGTTTATTTTCTGCAACTGATCTTCTTTAATCTTGGGTTCCATGCAAGCAACTTTGAACAGGACATGGAGCACCGAAAGCTTATCCAGAAATAACTGAAGAATCATTTGGTCAAAACACAAATGAAGCCTTGGAAGCCTCAGGGGGAGGTCACTTTTGAAGTGCACCTATCATGTGAAAATAAATAAACAAACAGACCACTTCTGACAAACTTCACAATGAAAAGAAGTGGAATGTCTGCCCATAAAAATGCAATGTGATAGGTGTCATCAGCTCCACTGAACAAAGAGGGTTTCCGTTATTAAAAATGGTTTTGAACATCCCTGAATAGGATTGCTTATAAAATGGTAAAATGGTCATTCAGTCTAAAAGGGTTGGATGAAGTGGCTCCTCTTAAATATGACACAAGTAGAAGACAAGATATGAAAATAAACAGATCAAGTCCTTACCAAAAACCTCACCCAGACTGGAAACCAGAAACAAAACAAAAACAAAACAACAAAAATTGCTTAAGTTATGTTCATTATAGCTCACTGTTTGTTCTCTCCAATATAGTGGAATTACAGGAAGCCAAGATTGGTACACACAAAACGGTGAGTCCAAAGCACTATGTCCTACATGACTCCCCACAGTCCCATTACTTTCAGATTTAAAAGGAATAATCTGAATTCTCTGCAGTGGTTAAAGTGAAGGACAAATGTAAAAATCAACTATCGTTCATTAGGTTAGACATTACAATACTGTGCACATGAGAAAAGTCATTTCAAATTGTAATTTTTCTTATAAAAGCAATTTATTCTTGGAACACAATATGCATCTTAATGCATCTTAACGATGCATTCCCTAATCTAAGCAACATACACATCCCTAACCAAGAATAACCTGGGAACACAATATGGAAAGCAGTAAACACAAAACTGATCTTTTCCAGCCAGTGGGGAAAGAGGTGCCTATGTACATGGAACTTACTCAGAACCTAAGTCAAGTTCAGCCAGTCCTGCATACATAAACATAGACAGGGACCAAGACCAAAGACCACAGGTATGACAGAGTTCTCGGGAACGAGCTCACGGCAGCATCACGCTTGCTTTGTCACAGCACTGGAACTACAGTAACAGTTTTATCAAGGACTGAAACGCACGTGGTCATTTTGTGGCGAGTTCAGACAAGTAACAACAAATTCTAATCTCCTGCAGCACGCCAGGCAGATTTTCCTCCGGACCTTGACCTGCCTCCAACTTGAAACATCAATAAGCTGTGCTGACTATAGAATTTTACATAGGTTGCTCAGATATACAAGCAAATACATCGTTCTTTCTGTTGCTTCTCTAGTTGTTGTTTCCAACTTCCATTGCTCTACTCTGCTAACTATAACCAGTCTCTCAGAAAAGTGCTCAAGTTTGATGGGTAACAAAGCAGTTTCCTCCAGAAGTGCTATAGTAAGAGGAAGAGATGTACTTAAATATATCTACAGCAGCAACAGCAGATATGATGTAAATCTTTTCTTGCTGCCTCCTGAAGAGTTACATTTTCTTCACTGTTGTCAGCTTCTTCAGATAAATCTTGAACAATCAAGGATGAAGGGCAGAAAACTGGGAAATGATTGTGTGATTAATTTCAGAAATTAAGTACCTAGTCAGAACTGTAATTCTCTCCAAAAAGCTGCTCCTGGTCCTTATATTAATTTGTACAGGAAAATTTACTTCATGACCTGCAGCCAAACTTTCCAGGAATTCAGCAGCAGCAGATAGCAAGTTATGGGCTTTGGGACTGTTTGGTTTTCTTAAAAACAGAAGACATTTTTAAAGCATTTCAGGGTTGTCCACAACCAAAGAGAAGAAAACTCAATATTGAAAATTCTGAAATAACACTATATATACAGTATACATAACTATTTATATTCTTCCCAATCAGTTTTCTTATTTAATTTCCAAGCCCATAATACCTCATCAGCATTGCTGGTTTCAGAAAGCCTGTGCCATATACAGAAGAGATTGCAGAGATGCCGCTCCACTTTTGTTGCCGCTCCCTCTAAGAGATCCTAAATGCATCCTCTTTGACTACTGATCACTCCCCTCCTCCAAACCCTACTTACAGACACCAAGGCTGAGGAGACTCTCTTGGGGATCAAGGCAAAGAAAGCACGGACTGACTCGGACTTTTCCCTATCCACTATCCCTATCCCACTGATGATTAAGCAGCAGGCTCCTATTTCCCTTGTTTCTTTTCTTTCTCCTTGTACTGCTAATGCAGGAAAAGCTCCTCTTGCTGCCTTTTGATGTGCTTTGCCAGTTTCAACTTCCGTTCATTTTCCTACATATTTATCTGGACACTTATGTGCTTGGAGGAGGTTCTCATTAGAGACATGCCAGGTCTCTGTCCTGCCTCTCAAAGGAACGCAGCACCCAGTTCAGCGAACAAGCTGCAGTCTCTTCTCGCTAAGCTTATGAGCAAGAAGGCTCAGTTGCACAAAGGTTCAGTTCAAGACTCACGGATGCAAATAAAGCCATGAGATTTTTACAGTTACTTCTTCAGATTGTTGCAATTCTTACATTTCATATGTTATTAAAATAATAATTTTTTACTGGCTGCAACAAACCTCAAGTTATTTTATGAGATTCCCTTGCCGTTTCTCAAAAGCTACCTTTTAGCTTTTGCAATGATTCCATAGTCTATGCTGTCTTCATAGAAAAAAATCCATTATAAGGAAACACGTCAAATAAACTAGTGGGTAACTTCCGATGCAAGTTGAAATGGGTGCACTCTTCATTCATTGCTTTTTATAGGACCAACTGATAAATTTTTCATTAGCTGCTCAAAGCAGGAAATCAGAAAAGAACTGGATCATAGTACAGTTTGGCCTGAGCACAAGACAAGATGAAGGCAGCAAAGTCAAGGTTCCCGATATTTTTTTTCCAGTGGCACAATGATCATGAACATCTGAGAATGACAGTTAGCAGCTGTGAGGCAGGAGAGAGTTCACACCAAGGGGTCATCATTCCTGAAGAATTCTCTTAAGAAAAGCAAGGTTCTCCTTTGAGGACTGAGAAGGAATTGCAGCCATTCTATAAAATCCTCTCACACAAGAAATCAGAAAGGAAGGTCTTGCTGGGTAAATCATACACTTAGCAAGACAAATGCATATGACCTACTAAAATCTAATTCTATTACTGGGAAACAACCTAATGCATCTTTGCTGAGGCCTCAGTCATACAGATACTGCCCAGAAAGGTACTTTGGAAAGAAGCATTCGGCAGGTAGCAACTACGCAGCAAGATAGTTGGGATCAACACAGATGCAGCTCCACAGCCATGACAACAGAACAGCTTTACCTG